GTATGTTTATATACACTTTATGAGGCCTTCTTGACTCGTGAATCTGGAGAGATTGCAAACCCATGGGGGTTGATCCTTGAAAAAAATCTCAGAATGATTCTTTCCAAGAATAAGTCAGATTTCCGTTGATCTTCCTTCGTTTGTGGTCTTGATAAGCTTCTTATCCGCTAGGCATATCTTTTCGTTACTTGAGGCGTGTCCGCTAGATCCCTTGATTTCTGCCTTCAATGGTCTTCAGTGCTTCCCTTTGCAATCTCGCTTCCGTTTGTATTTGGGACCTTTCAGTAATAGCTTCCATTAATCATTTATAGAATCACTGATTGATTCTTCTTCCAGATCTCCGTTGCTTCTTCCTTTTTTCATCGCTAATCGTTGATTCCTTTCCTTGCGTTTCCGATTGTTTCCCTAATCTATTGTTGATTAGTATTGCATCTTGATTCATTTGTTTTATTCTTTTTGATCCTGGACCAAATGTGATACATTACTTTTCATCATTGAAACTTAGAGTTAAAACTCTTGTCATTCCCAAAGAAAGGCAAAAAGAATGATGCTACACATCATCCTAAATGGAGAAGGAAAAGATGAGATTCTTTCATAAGAGACTAGGAAAGGGATATTCATACTCGAATTAGAAAATAAAAGGCACGATAATTCAAATTATCGAAGCTAACTCTTCTATGAGAATTACACTATTTCCGTCTTTTTCTAAGATTTCATAAGCAGGTCGCGCAAGTTGTTCCCATTGATTAAGAGCCTCAAGGTGATATACACAGAATTCCTCAAAATCCATCATTCTGTATTGCAGTATATTTAGATGCCATGACAAGGAAAATATATAACTTAGGATCACAAGTTTGAGTGTTCAAATTCAATTAGATCTGTGGATGAGATGGACGCAGAGCATACTGAAGCAACTAAATCATGAATGAGTAAATACTTAATGGAATTTGTTGCATTTTACATTAGGGCCTGGAAAAATCATAACGTCAGGACCATTGCAATATTATAGAAATGATTTACCTGATAACTTTTGTAGAAGACAAACCGATTTATTATTATCCAAGTTTATGGTGTCATTTTTGTTTGGTTCTAGCAGCGCAAACTGCTGCTTCAAATGGAACAGCTCACGTACAGTTATTATTTTTGATAAAGCCTGAAAAATTCTAATGATTGAAAATTATAGGGAATGATATAAATATTATATAAATAAATAAATAGCAAATACTAAAACTAATCAACTATATCATGCACACGCCCATAGAGTAGCTTTCTGAAGAGCAGATGAACGCATGTATGCCTTCATGAGCTTGAGTATCGGGGTACCCAAAGGCACTCCTATTTTGTGACTATTCTTTATCCGTGGAAGACCTGAGACAACAAAGTGTTCCAGCAGTTTCATAAATATAAAGAACATAATAGTCATTTTCAAAGTTGCACAAGAAACTCACCCAAGGCCCGGGTTGTAGTCATTTTTTTTCGAGGATCCTTATTCAGCAAACGTTTCACAAAGTCTTTTGCTTCAGAAGAAAATGCAGGCCTAGGCGATTCCTCAAAACTTGGATCATCCTTGAGGATGGTCCTAAATATCCTAGAGTGTTCGAGCCCAAAAAGGACGGCTGCCACGCAATAGGATACATGCAATAATACCTATATATATCCGAAATATCAGCCTACGTACATAAAATCGATGTAGAACTTCAAGCGTTACATAATATGCACTACCAACAATATCATTAAATCTTTCATCTTTAGAAGAATAAAGCATGAGAGTTGATCACAAGTATGTCGTGCTACTCAATAATATGAAGGGTCCGTTATTTTCTCTTTTTTCCGTTATTTGTATTATTTTTCTTTATGGAGAAGTTCCCAGAGGCACAAAGTAAAATCATTAATATCGTGAGGCGAAATGGACGAACCTGGCTTCACGAAACGAGACAACCCAACGTCTATGGCTTTAAGTTATGCATCTCCGTCCATAGACGTGAACAAAAAATTCTGGTCCATGAAAAAGTACAGTTAGAACTGAAAGAGCATAATACCAAGAAGGATTACCAAAACAAGTAGCTTTTGTATGGTGGCCTAACTTGCGATGTTCCTTCTTGAAATAGTACTCCAACAATTACTTGATTAGCTATAATCTTTTCTCACAAGTAGTTAAGCAAAAAGTGTGAGACTAGCTCCGAGACAAATTGAAAGTACGGGGGTACGGGGGGGGGGGGGGGGGGGGGTTGGTGTAAGTTGCCTATTACAAAAATAATATACGTAACTAGTTGTAATTAATTTAACCTAATAGTCGACTAAGAAATAATAACAAGAATAAATAGTAATAGCAAGAAAAGTAAAAGTAACAAAGTAAAATTA